CCTGTGTCGGCCGCAGTGCCTGGGTGCGCGCCCCCCTGGGGCCTCCCTGGGGCTCTGTCCATGGTCCATGGCCTCGGGGGCCGGTATACTGGGTGGGGGGGGAGAGGCTCCTGGCCGCACTGGGGAGTTGGGGGGCTGCAGTGTGGCCTCGGTTGGTGCATGGAGCAGCGCGTCTGCCTCCATCCCGGGGCTGCCCCACAGTGGGGCTGAGGGGGCTGCGCTGCCCCTGCCCCATGCTCCTGCCCTCTGAGGGGTGAGGCCTCTGCTCTGTGCCTTCTGGTGCCTTCTAGATGATGCTTTCATCAACCCCCATCTGGCCAAGATCTTCGAGCGGGTGAGGCAGAGCGCGGACTTCATGCCGCTGAAGCAGATGACTGTGAGCAGGCGGTGCTGGTGATGGGGGGGCGCGGCGTCTGGGTCCTTGGCCGTCCCCCCACCCTTGGGGGGCACCTGCAGTAGCCTGAGGGGGACAGCCTGGGGGTGCTCGTCAGGGTGTCCCTGGGGCGGGCTGTGCTCACGGCCCCTCCCTCACCTCTCCTGCCAGAAAACTCTCAACAACGACCTGGGCCCCGGCTGGCGGGACAAGCTGGAGTACTTCGAGGAGCGGCCCTTCGCCGCAGCGTCCATCGGCCAGGTACACCTGGCTCGCATGAAAGGCGGCCGCGAGGTGGCCATGAAGATCCAGGTAGGCGCCCGGTGTATGCGGCCATCCTCGGGGGCCCTGCAGTGTTGGGGTGTCCGCACCCTCCACCCCTGTGTGCCCCTACCCCGGGGTGGGGCCTGGGTCTTAGCATTTCCGTCCCCGGCACCTGGTCAGCACTGGGCACTGGGCAGTACACACTGAGAGTGACTTCTGGTGGCACAGCCTCCCTGCAGACTTGGTTTGGGCTGGTGAGGCGGGGAGGGGACAGGTCAGTGTCAGGGGGGTGGGGCCCTCACTGGGGAGGTGGAAGGAGGCACAGTGGCATGAGGGCTGCTGGTGGGGCCTGGGTGTCCTGGCGCATCGTAGGTCCCATCTGTCACTCAGCCTAGGCATGGGGTCTGGGTGGGCCTCGGCTGGGAGAGTGGGGTTCCCTAGCAGGGCCCTGCCTGGGACCCCTCTGCTTCCCCGCAGTACCCTGGTGTGGCCCAAAGCATCAACAGTGACGTCAACAATCTCATGGCCGTGCTGAACATGAGCAACATGCTTCCTGAAGGTCAGGGGCAGGCCCGCAGGATGGACTCTGGGGATCCGAGGGGGCCACCTTGGGGAGCCCTCAGCTCCCACTGACCCCCTGCTCCCTGGCACAGGCCTGTTTCCCGAGCACCTGATTGACGTGCTGAGGCGGGAGCTGGCCCTGGAGTGTGACTACCAACGGGAGGCCGCCTGCGCCAAGAAGTTCAGGTGGGGCTCATGGCTGGGGGCTCCCATGGGGGACATGGGTGACACGCTTGAGGCAGCCTCCAGGGTGGGGTGAAGGTCCCTGTGGCTCTGAGGGGCAGGTGGCTATAGTTGGGACCTGGGGTCACTGCCATATCCTGCCTGGCTCCGTTCCTCAGTGCCCATCTAGGGGGTGAGGGTGGGAGCCTCTGGCATCAGGATTTGACCCCCCCAACCCACCCTCAGGGAGCTGCTGAAGGACCATCCCTTCTTCTATGTGCCCGAGATCGTGGACGAGCTCTGCAGCCCCCATGTGCTGACCACAGAGCTGGTATCAGGCTTCCCCCTAGACCAGGCCGAGGGGCTGAGCCAGGAGATCCGGAACGAGGTGTGTGTCACGGTGGCCGTGTCACCGTGAGGGACACGGTGGGGAGGGAGGGAGGGGTCACGGGGGGCTCTCAGGTCCCCCTGCTGGGGACACTCAGCATTGGGAGTGCAATCGGGGAGGGCGGCTGGAGGGGGAGGACGGGAGGTGGCTCCCTGGGCCCCAGACTGGGCTTGGTGCCACCATGTCCCCCCCCATCCCCCCAGATCTGCTATAACATCCTAGTCCTGTGCCTGAGGGAGCTGTTTGAGTTCCACTTCATGCAGACAGACCCCAACTGGTCCAACTTTTTCTATGACCCTCAGCAGCACAAGGTGAGCCCTGGGCACCTCCTTGGGGGCCCCTGAGGTCGGGGTCCAGCCCTGCTGTAGCAGGTAAACCTCCCCCGTGTTGCTTGTTCCAGGTGGCTCTTCTGGACTTTGGGGCGACTCGGGAATATGACCGGTCCTTCACGGACCTCTACATCCAGGTTGGCAGGGGCCAGGGGTGCTTGGAGGCTGGGAAGGGGCGAGAGACGGGTTTGCTGTCCTCCTGCATGGTGTCCGGTGTCCACTGGGGGACAAAGCCCGGTGGGCTCCCAGGCCAGGGGCTTGGAGGGACTGTGGGGGGATGCCTCCTCTGTGCCACTCACTGCCTCTCCCATTTGCCCAGATCATCAGGGCAGCTGCCGACAGAGACAGGGAGGCGGTGCTAAGGAAGTCCATAGAGATGAAGTTCCTCACTGGCTATGAGGTCAAGGTCAGCGGCCCATGGCTTCCGGGGCTCCATGGGACTTCGCACGGGGAGGGTGGGCAGCAGCTGCTTTCCCCAAACCCTGACTTGTGAATGGATGAGAGGTGTTGGTGTCCTTGAGGACTCCCCCTGGCCCAGCCCCACCTCCCCCCCAACCCCACCCTACCCACCATTCATCAGTCTCCTTAATAATCACACACCGCCCTTAACCTCCCCTCGCCTTCACCACCACTCAGTGGGAGAGCTCCGTGCCGGGGTAACCCCCCCTCACCCCTTGCCACACCCCACAGGCCATGGAGGACGCCCACCTGGATGCCATCCTCATCCTGGGGGAGGCCTTTGCCTCGGAGGAGCCCTTTGACTTTGGCACGCAGAGTACCACTGAGAAGATCCACAACCTGATCCCCATCATGCTGAAGCACCGGCTCGTCCCGCCCCCTGAGGAGACCTACTCCCTGCACAGAAAGATGGGGGGCTCCTTCCTCATCTGCTCCAAGCTGAAGGCCCGTTTCCCCTGCAAGTCCATGTTCGAGGAGGCTTACAGCAACTACTGCAAGCAGCGGGCTGAGCAGCAGTAGCCGGGCTGCCCCCTGGGGTCCTCGGCGCCCCCGCAACCATCCCTGGCGCCCGGACCCTCCCAGCTGTCCCCGGCACCCCAACCTCCCACAGCTGGACTGCCGTCTCAGCCCTGGCTCCTCTGGGGTCTGCTCCGTGTGCGCTTAGCCTCTGAAATGAGTGAAGACAGCAGGTTTCCCCCTTTTCCTTGTAATGGTGGTTCTCCTCCTGGGAACGTGAGGAGCCCTTGGATTCCCTGCCACCAGAAATAGAGAAGCCCCTTTAGATTTTACCGAATGTTCGTAGAGGGTAAGGCTTGCGTGTCTCTGGGATGAGGTGTGTGTTTCCTCTGCCTGTGCTCCGAGCGGTGCCGGCAAGTATGCTTCCCCTCGTGAGGCCCGGCCTGCTCGCTGGCTGGGCTCAATGCTCTGGACAGTGGAAGTTTCTGGAGATCTGCGGCCGCCGCTAGGGCGGGGAGGAGCAGTCTGTGCCAGAGATCGGTGTGCAGGGCCCCTCTTTCCTGCTCCAGGGCGGGGGCTTTTGTGGAAGGAGGTGAATGTGCAGAAGTCACCTGGTTAGACCCGAGGGGTCACCACAGGCTGTTCATTTTTGTACAATTCTTGTAATTGTTTGATTTGTTTCAATATTAAAAAACATAAAACCCACTCTCCTAGAATTGTGGTGTGACTTCTACTCGTAAAGGGCGCTGGGCTGATTGTGACCTGCTCGAGACCGGTGTCACACCCTAGGTTGTTGGGCCCAGATTGATCCCTGGTGGGGAGGGGAGGCCCGGGAGGGGAGGCACCCACCCCATCACATGCACGGAAGAGCTAGCTGGGACGGCGGTGACCCCTGCCAACAGGGTCTGCCCACCTGCATCTGAGGGGACAGCCATGCTGAGGGACAACACCCCCTGGGCTGTGGCTTTTCCCAAGGCAAGCTGAATCCTCTGCCTGGGCATTTGTGAGCATTGCCGTGGGGCCCTCACAGCTGGCAGCCCCCCAGTGGGTGTGCAGCAGGCAGTGATGAACATGGGGAGACGGCTCTGCGACAGGATAGGGGTTGGGCTGGTCTCAGTGACAGCAGCTGGGAGCCTGGCACCGGAGCTGTCGAGGCTCTTTTGGAGGCTGTTGCATTTTTGACAGAGGTTGCGTGTTTATAAAGGAGTGCCTTCTGTGGCTGTCAGGGCGGGCACGTATGGGGCAGGCTCAGAGCCCACGGGATGATGGGCAGGCCGCCGGGGACCCAGGTCTGGAACGAGACCAGACACGCAGCCTGAGCTCCCCCTCCACTACTCAAGGGCTGGCAGACTGCAATTTGTGGCCATGTGGGGCCTTCTGTCTACGGGCAAGTCATCTGGGGACACAGTGGCCACGTAAGCCCGCAGAGCCGACCCTCCCACCGGCCTCTTACAGAAAGCCTGGAGCTCCCCCAGAGCATAGCGCCCCTTGGGTGAGACAGAGGGTCAGATGTGGCAATACCCAGGATCTGCCAGGGACATCAGCTGCTGTCCGCTGCATGTGAACAGGACCGGGGGCGGGGGATTGAGGGGCTTCAGATTTCCTTAGTAAGGCCCTGAGGCTGCCTGGTGTCCCCAGATGTGCCATTCTAACCAACTCAGGATCACAAGCACAGCGGACACACCAGGCAGCCCCCAGGTCTGTACAGTCAGAAGTGACAGCTGGGGCGGAAACCCGGGCGCACAGGGGGTCCCAGCGTGGCAGGTGCATGCGGAGGGGGCCACAGAGGCTGCTGACAGGCCTGGCCTCGTTCACAGCCACCCTTACCTGAGCTACAGGGTGAACTTGCAAAGTCCCTGGTTAAACTAATCCCGCATCCTTCTGCAGGCTAAGGAGCACGCTGGGATGAGGACGGGGACGACAGGAGGCAGGATCTAGCAAGATGAGGAGTCAGTCACCTTTCCTCCATCGCTCAGACCTTGCAATCAGGGAAAGAAAGACAAGACCATCAGGTCTAACAGTTCCCTGTTTTATTGCAATACATCAAATTCTGTTAATATTAAGTGATACCAACATAAAATATTGGTGAGGAGTCTTGTTACATTTTTGACTATCCCACCTTAAATATTTCTGTGCAAAAGAATCCACACCATTGTCTGGTAGCAGAGAATTGCTTATAAACCTCCCTAAGACTTTGATGGTGTAAAACCAAATAAAAGTCAATAAAGAAGAGAGGCCAAAGCATCTTTTTCCCTTCCATACACACATTTGTCAGCATTATATTCTAAACAAAAAAATGATTACACCTAGGCCATGCAAAACTGTACAATAATATTACAATGAGAAAAAACCCTAAAAATTTATAAAATAAATGATATTACACTATCAAATAAAAAGGCAGGTCATTTTGTTTTCATGAAATTTCCAGGTTTGTTGTTCAGCGGCCCTCATAAGTGACGTGGCTCCTGTGTGTGGTGATTGTCCTCCCTGGGAAGGAGGGCGGGGCCAGCCTGCGCCAAGGGGGACGGCGCCCGTGCAAGCCAGCCTTCCTCTCCAGCAGGACTCTGCAGAGGATCTCACTTGAGTGATCATTAAAGTCCTAACAAGGAAAGAGGCCTGACGGGTTCAGTGGAATGTCCTGCAGCTCACCTGTACGAACTTGGGCCGGGCAGGGAGCCAGGGGCGCAGGGCCCTGTGGACCCGGGCAGCGGCCAGGTCCGACCACTGCCGAGAGTGCCGCTCCGGCCAAAGCCGGGATGGGGAGCTTTCAGGGTCCCGCTCAGCCGGGAGGCCACAGGGCTCGTGACCACCACTACGGGCTGACACGTGGCCCTACTGGGCTGCTTGGGATGTCTGCCTGCGCCCCCTCCGGCTCTCCTAGGCAGATACCGGAGAGTCGGTTTATTTATTTATTTTTTCTAAATATTTATTTATTTATGATAGTCACAGAGAGAGAGAGAGGCAGAGACACAGGCAGAGGGAGAAGCAGGCTCCATGTACGGGGAGCCCGACGTGGGATTCGATCCCGGGTATCCAGGATCGCGCCCCGGGCCAAAGGCAGGCGCCAAACCGCTGCACCAGAGTCGGTTTAAATGCAACCTGTCTTCCACAGAAATAGATGTGGCCACTAAGTAACAAAATGACATGACTCTAACCATATGGAAGGCAGAGAGGCTGAGAGCCAGCCAGGAATGACAGGCTGTTGCTGTCAACAGAACGGGGATTTCAGATTTGTCCCAGAAGCCTGGGGACAAGAAGCGTGGGGGCCTGTGCATCTCCTGCTCCGAGCCTTCAAACTGTGCTCCCGGAAACTGGCCTGCCTGGCTGAAGGGGGAGCGTGTGCCCGGAACTACAAACGTGAAATCTACTAATCGTTTGACAAGGAGGAAGGCTTTTGTTTTTGGCAAAAGGAAAGAGATCTGTGTATGCTGGATGATTTTTCTATACCCAAAGCACACGAGATTAAATTAGAATTCCAGGATAGACAAATTGGCTGGACATAGCACCAAAATACCAATACATACAGACTATTCCAGAAATGCCCCACTGATCTGTCCTTCCTACTGTGAAATGTGTTCCTGCTGCCATATGCATTTTTCAAAGGTCTTGCAAGAGAACAAAGGAGGGCTTCAGGCAGCAGTCCTTCCTCCTGAGCCCTCTGAATGGTCCCTCTGTTTCCCTGGATGCCATCCTGTCTTTTCAGATCCTTCTTCTCAGAAGCTTCTGAGGGTAACTGCTTCATATCTGCGTGTGGGGTAAGCCCTAAGCCCTGAAGGATCATTATCTCAGGAAGACCCGCCCTCCTAAACTATCACCTGTGGCAGTGTTTCCCCCTGTTCCCAACAGGACAGCTGTTGGAATTTGTCCTGCTCAGAACTGACCTACACGGCCTCAGATTGCCGAGGGAAGACGCGGAAGTGCCAGGGTGCAGGTCCCCGGGTCACCACTGCCTCTAGGGTCTCTCTTCTGTGCCCTGTGGTGACTCCCTGAACTGCTGTCTAGACCGCAGGGAGGGTGACACTTTGACCCTAAAAGCATCTTTTACAAAATGAGCACCTATAGGCCACACCAATTCACGTAGTTGTCGAAGCTACAAACTAATGCCGTAGTGCAGAGTCCTGTGACCCCTGGCCCGGGAGGCCGGGGAGGGAAGTGAGAGTCAAGGGAGGGTCGGGAGGGTGGGAGGCAGCCACTGGCTGGGGGCTTCTGTCCTTGCTGGGAAGTGCTGAGTTCCCAGGGCAACTGGGTCCCAGGGCAGGAACCACTCATGGCCTGGTCCTTGACACAGGGATGTCCAGGGGTATTTCACATGACATGTCTTTCCCCGCAGCAAAAGATTTAGAGAGGAGAACTGTGTGGTGGCTCGTGCCCTGTGTGCAGCAAACCGTCAGCAGTCTGGGCGCGGTGGCCTCCACTGGGCCTCTGTTCCCTCACCGAGCATCGGGCATGTTTCAGAGCAGCGGCAGCCTGGACCGGGTCCCAGCTCCGCAGAGGACTATGTGCCACGGGGGTCACGGTGCTCGGGAACTGCGGTTTAAAAAGAGAAGGAAATCTTGCTGCCAGTTCTAGGAAAAATTTAGATAAAAAGTAAGAGAGCCAGATTCTCTTCACTTCCATGAGATACTTTTATTTCTTTCTCTGCTCATGTGCTTAACTGATGAACTACTCGGGAAGATCCGAAGCCCCTGGGGCTGTGCGTTCGCCTCCTGGGTGGTTCGAACAGCAGCAGCTCCACCAGGCGCCCGGACCGTAGTGCCAGGGCCAGGGCCACGGCTGCACCTGCCACGGCCCCACCTGCCCGGCTCTAGGAGCAGTTCTGTTCTCCCCCAGGGGTGGGAAAGCATATTTGGTTAAGGCTGTTCAAGTTCTTGCATGTCAGGTTTTCTATTATTTGGTAATTAGACTCAGGCTTCCCCAGGAGCCCGGCGGGGGGGGGGGGGGGGGGCTTAGCCCGGGGGAAAGCACTTCCAGGAACCTGGGTAAGGACCCTCGGAGGCCGTGCCATCCCTTGCGTGTTCAGTGGAAGGACTCGGGAGGTGACAAGACTGCATTTCTACATTCTTCTGCAGAAGATAACAAAATACAATAAAAACCGAGGAGTGTGGTTTGAATTCTACTGCTAGTGAAAGACGTGGAAGTGTTTTTTGCTGCCCCTAAGGCAGCTTCCAAGGTTAAGCCTTGAGCGCAGGCCGCAGCCCAGAGAAGCCAGACGGGCTTTCAGAATGTCTTCCTGAAGCCCCCGGGGGACTGTGGCCCGACCACAGGGAACTGTCTTGTCTCCCTCTCCGGCTACCAATGTCTACGAACGTCTACGAACATCAGCGTGAGGCCTTCCTACCCTTGAAACCACTTAGCTGGAAAACAGACAAGAAACAACACATTTCTTTAAATTAAATGATCTCTCTCTTATATAGGAATCCATCTTTGTTGAATACAAGATGCTTTTTACTATGTACATTCAGTATTTAACCTCTACATTTGTGTACTTAAACTCTGTATTGTAGTAAAATATGCACTGTTGTAGTGGATAAGGATTTACTGGCAACGATCAGGTTGACTGGCTGTGGGCGCAGGGGGCGCGGCGGGGGGGGGAAGGGGGGGGACAGGCGGCTGGGTGCAGGGCCCGGGGGCAGTGGGGACGACGGGACGACTCTGCAGTGGGAACAGATCTGCCGGGCCTCTGTCTACTTGAGCTACCTTTGGGGAGGGGACACGATGATGGGAAGCAACTCTAAGTGTAGGAAATGGAATCAATAGTCCTCGAAGCTGCTCAGTGAGTCTGCCTTTAGGGCTGTTGCTGTTAAGTGGAGGGAGCATGGTGGGGGCAGAGGGGGCGTGGGGGGAGGGCAGCACAGAGTGGGGCAGGGGCTGCAAGAACTATGTCACTGTCCCGAGCCCCCACTCTGCTCCTGCAGCAGGCCCTGGGCCTTCTGGGCAGGGGTAGGGGACTGACGTGGAGACAGGGCAGCAGAGGGAGGAGCCAGAGCCGGTCAGGGTCACGGGTCCCAGGTACCACGGTCGGTGCTCTCCAGGGACAGGCTCTTGGTCTTCCGAGGTGACACTGGGCTGGGCGGGCTGCTGAGGTTGGAGCTGTTGGAAGCTGTGGAGTGCCTCGGAGAATCCGAGTCCTGTAGGCCAGAGAAGACAGTAGTAAGAAGCAAAGGACTGGCATGGGCTCAGTGCTGCCCCCCACAGGTGACCTGCAGGCACCTAGAGCAAATAACTGAGTGTGACCGGTCCACGGTCAGTAACAAGGTCCCTTTTCTGAGCCCAATAAAGGGCATGGAATATGACAAGCGTTCACAGCCCTTCCTGCAGGCCTTTGGAAATGTGGGTCACTTTCACACAAAAGCTATTAGAACATCTCTGCAAAACTGCAGTGTGTAGCCTGGGTGACTGGCCACATCAGGCCTCCCCAAACCTGCCCTCACTGCAGCTGAGGCCATTCTTAAGGTGGTGGCATCACTGCGGTGAGTGTGTGAATCTGTTTAACACAGGACTTCTCCAGACCAGACAGTTTCTGCCCACACCCCACTCACCTCTCCGTCATAGTCCCTGGCTGGGGCGTCACTTCCCTGGTCCATGCCTCCGGAAGACAAGGAGCCCTCTGATGGGGAGGGCATGGGCTGCCACTTAGCATTATAGCTTCCTCCGGAGAATTCTCTCTTTAATGCACTGCCATTCTGTGCAGATGACCCTACGGGACAGCACTGAGGTCAGACCTCACACAGGTGGACAAGAGAACACCCTGTGCAAGTGTGTTGACCTGGGGGAGGGGGGACGGTGAGCCGGTAACCCATGGGGGGCCAGTCGGTGAGGGGCAGCCTTCTTGAGGCCTGTTAAGTCCTGGAGCACCCAGCACCTTACTGCTAAAGGATTTGCATACAGAGTGAGGAACCCGAGAGCATCTCTATCCTGCATCCATCCCGCAGGCCCAGAAGCCTGGGCTACAAAAGGTGAGCTTCCTGAAAATCACACTCTGGTTCAGTGTCAGAGTGGGGGCACCTAAAGGAGGGACCAGCACCATTTGGAGGGAGGAGGATGGAGACAAAAACCTTGGAAATACTGGGGAATTGTTCCTACTTGTTCAAAGCTCTTGGTATTCCGTATTGTTTTAAAAAAGATTTTATGTATTTATTCATGAGAGACATAGAGAGAGGCAGAGGCACAGGCAGAGGGAGGGAGAAGCAGACTTTCTGCAGGGAGCCCGATGTGGGACTCGATCCCAGCATCCTGGTATCATGCCCTCAGCCAAAGGTGACACTCAACCACTGAGCCACCCAGGTGTCCCATTCCTTCTTCTTTAGTTTTCCTAAAAAACATTTTAATCTTGCTGAGCTTCCATATTAAAACCACTTGGACTGAAAAGACTGCTGACTTGTCCATATAAGATACAGATTATGACTGTTTTCACTTGCTGCTGGTTGAAAAATAAATCCCCCCCCTCAAAAAAAATCCCAATCTAGTGGTTTTACATTAAGAATTCTGTAAGAGCATCAAAGAAGACTGTGTCAGGCACCTCATGACGATGAAGACACAAAGTCTTTATCAGCCTGGAATGTGCTCTAGGCCCCCCGCATGTCCAGAGTCACCCCTGTCCCGTGTTGGGGAGCTTACAGATGCCCCAGCCTGGACCTGTCGCTGAACCACAGCAGCAGAACCTCAGGCTTCCTTGTTGGAACCTCTCGGGAGGATTCGGGGGGGGGGGGGGCTCCTCCTGCACCCTGGAACCTGCCCCCCCAGCACCCCATTTGCTGCAGGGGTCACTCATTAGCCACTGACTGATCTTCATGGTTGCCATGAGGGTGCTCGTCGCTCCTTGGAGGTGGCTCTTCTGGGCCCCTGGGTCACCACCTTCCCAAAGGCTAACTCATCCCAATTCCCTGTTGCCTCAGGGCTACGGAAACTATCCAGTACATTTTTATAAAAGTTTGTTATTCTGAAGAGAACATCCGAAGCACCAGAGGCTTCTGTGGCTCTGCTTATTAACCATGTGACTTCAAGTACCTTCTTTACCTGGGTCTCTGTTTCTACCTGTAGATAATGCCTAATTTCTGCTTTATGGGATTTCTATGGGAACAGCTTAGCCCCGGGTACATGGAAAACCCCAGAAGCAGAAGGCACACAGTGGGGCCTGCACCCCAGGGGCAGAAAGTGCCCAGTGGGGCCCACACTCCCAAGAGTGCAAGGTGCACTTTCGTGGGGGGCTCTCTCCAGGCTGCACCTTCTTAACTATCTCCTTGCCTTCATTCGAGTGCCATTTACAGAACACAAGAAATTCATGCCACCTCCGTGATGTATACTTTTTTTAAGAATGAACTTTGGGAATGTTCCTTTCAAAGAAAAGTCACACTGGACCACTCCAATCTTAACACATTAAAGCAAGGCTGCTGTGACAGGCCAGCAGAAGGGGCCTGGGGACAGTGTGAGGACTGTAGTCCTGGCTGAGACTATGTCCTTGGGCACAGGCTCCTCTAAGGAGCACTGGCTGATGGCTCTGGGGCTTGGGCGGCAAGGTCTCTGACTCTGCATGACCTCAGGAGAGGCGAGGCTCCCTTGTGAGTCGGCGGCTGACAGGAGTGGGTCTTTCTCTTCGGGGAGACCAGAACGGAGCCACTTTGCATCGTGAAGCCATCCTGATTCTGGCTCTGAAAGATCTGTGCTTCTGGTTGTGGAGACTGACAACAGGGTTCTCTATTACTTCTTGTGTCTCTCGCAGCTGGCTGTCCTTCTGGAACCTTCTGGAAACTTCTCACATGACCTGGACTCTTCTGAAAGCCAGGAGGTGGCACCTGACACAGAAGAAGCCCCTTGGAATTCCTGGGAGGGCCTTCTCCCTAAGGATCTCAAGGACAGCACCCCTGATGGGTTCCTGAGAGGTGGCGGCCCCGGGCCCTTCACAGCCTTCCATTACAGGGCCCATCTTTACCTGCTGTTCAATAAAACCAAAGCCCTGAAGACGGAAAGTGTTTTCATAAGCTTGATGTGAACTCATGCGGTGGCAAACCTAATCTGAGCTAATTGGAGGCTGACTACAGAGCTTATCTATTTACAGCATGACCAGTCATGAATTTGGCTGTATAAATACTGATCTGTTTGTGGGTGTTGTCCAGATCTTGCTGGGAATGTAACGTATTATACAGCAAATTCTTTTTGTGCGTGCATGTGTGTGTGTATACATATATATATTTGGAGCAGGGATTATACACAACTGTTAATGCTGTAATACTCTCTTTGCATCTCAAATCTTGAAAACTTAGTTATAATGTAAATCCACTATCTATGTAGCCACCATTAATAAAAAGAAAATAAAATGGTTATTACTTTTCCAACTGGCTAGATTTTTCACTGTCAGGGCCCTGCACCCAGGGCAGCGATGCTCTAAGGAGGCAATGACAAAGGGTCAGAAGTTGATGCTGAAAGCCCCATGCATGGGAGCCTCCCCTCTGGGGGCTTACGCCTGCCGGTAGTCTGAGGACTCTACAGCGTACCACAGAGGGGTGAGGTCTCCCCAGAGAAGAGCTTATAAAAATGTTGCCATTTCCATCTACCTGCCTCTCTGTCTATCTGCTCTGGGGGAAGCAACCACCACGGCACAAGGACATTCAGGGACCATAGAGACAGGCCTACATAGTAAGGAACACAGTCCCCAACCACAGCTGCACGAGAGGCTGGCTGGCTCTCGCTCCAGCCACAGCCATGGGGACCCTGACATGAGTCAGCCAGCTCAGCCGCTCCCAGATCCCTGATCCTTAGAAACGGACAGAGATGATCAAGGATCATTGTTTTTCTTTTCTTTTCTTTTTTTTTTTGAGAAGGAGAGAGAGAATCCCAAGCAGGTTCCATCCCATCACCCTGACAACATGACCTGAACTGAAACCAAGAGTCAGCCGCTCAACTGACTGAGCCACCCAGGCACCCCCGATCATTGTTTCGATCTAAGTTTCAGGGTACCACTTTCTGCACTACTATACTAGCCCCCATCTCTGTATCGCCAGGGCCTGGAAGCAACAGGCAGCACAGAGCAGGGTTGACTCCAACGTCTGCTGCAGACACAACAAACTGGATCCACAGCAGGAGACTGCCTCTCAGATATCTACTGTTTAAGGACGGGAGGCAACAGATACGATTTCTGACCGAGGGACTGAATGTGAGCTCGTGTGCCCAGAGACCAGCTGTGGGCATGGTGAGAGGTCTTGTTAAGGTTATGCTTGACACAATTGGAATGCACTTCTGGTGGCACCTTGCACGTACAACCTCCAACCTCTAGGCCGATGTCAAGCTACTTTTGCAAAAGGGACAGAAAAGCAGCCCTTGGCTACAAATAGTCTTCCCCGAGTCAGAAGCAGTGCCGATTGTCTAACAATCTAGCTCGCTGTTTGTGATCCAGGAACTCCCAAAGATCTCAGCGGACTCGAGACATTTCATTGTCATGACCAAATACTGCCTCTCTGCGCTCCTCTTATTCTGAGGCTGGCAACTGCTAGCATCCCTGAATCTTTCCTGTGACAAACAGTACCTTTTGACACCCCCACGCCCCGGCCCCTGAAGTTGTTCTGACTATAGGGGGACAAGCCCAGTGTGGAGCAGAGTTTTCTCTCCATGGCCCCTGAGCGCAGGGCTTTGTGTGAAGTAGAAGACCAGCAGTGCCGAGGTTCGGGGTGGAAGGAAAGAAGCTGCCAACAAAGACGGCAAGCGAGCCACCTGAAAGCAGGTGCTCGATTGCATATGACAGTGCCCCGGTGCCCCAGCAGAAGACTTGCTGTCTCCTGGATGGTCACTGGATGAATGACGAGTGCCATCCTGCTCATGTGTCCCCGGTCTCCTTCCTCATGTCCTGCCAGCCATTCCAGACCCTGGCACCCACTGCTCCCACAGGAAACCGAGGGTCACCTGTTACTCTTCCATCTCCTTCACCTCCCACAACTAATGCCCTGCCAAGCCTCACTGTTTTCACCCTTGAGTGTCTCCCTGTCGCCTTCCTTTCTCCTCCACTGCTGTCCCCCAGGCCCTGTCATTCCTGCTGGCCACTCTGAGCCCCACCAGGAGGCACACTTCCGCTCTTGCCCTGTATCCAGTCACCATTTGGCAGTCGGAGAGGTTTTTTAAAAATGTGAATTGGATAAAGGTCCTTCCATGCTTAAATTTTTCAGAGGCTTCCTGTTGTATTTCTAATAAAAATGTCTCTGCTTGCTCTGCAAGTCTCTGTTTGATCTGACCATTGCCTATACCACTTGTGCTTTATGTTTGGGGTCACTCCCTGACCACTACACCAGATAGCCACACTGGCCACCTCTGAATCAATCAAAAGTGACTAAAACATGGCATCAACCCTAGGGTAGGCCCGTGACCTTCCTAATGAATCTCAGTGTGAATCACCCCTAATAGTCCCCTGCTTGTTACTCTGTCATGGTGCCCTGTTGATTTCCTTTGGGGCATCTATCACTACAGATTGAGGTGTTAAGCATCTGTCTCCAGGATGGACCGGGAACTCGAAAAGGACCCCACGATCACTTGCTAAACACAGTGCACCCATGCTTCCTGGCCCCCTACCCAGCAGGCCACCAGAGCATGCATGCATGGACGAGGCCAGAGCAGGGGCACCCAGGGCAGCACTCACTTGCTGAAAGGCCGCTGCTGGCGCTCATGGAGCGGCCGGGCTCAGGGCGGGATTTAGTGATGGATGGAATACTGACTGAGCCGCTGAACACGGTCCGGCTTTCCTGAGGCCGAGGGTTCTGAAAACAAAACACAGAGGAAAACTCTTCAGCCGGAGAGAGAGAGAGTGATTTTCAGCAGAGATGTCTATTTTTCACTTGCATTTTAGCAAAGAGATGATCTTGACCAGAGTGATACAGAACAAGGAAGAGACTATATAATCCCTCCTGCCCCCATAAGTACTGAACCCGAATGGAAGCAAACCTCACCCCAGTCAAGGATAAGTGCTCATCCTTGTATGGATTGAGATGGTTATTGGCAAATAAGAATACTCTTTGTTGTGAGAACAGTGAGTTAAAGTTACGTGGTTAGAAGTGACAGCGAAGCTCAGAATTACACGGACATTTGCAGATAATGAGACAAAGCATTTACTACATACTATGAGATTTTTATTAGGATGACTCCATTAGCTGAAGAGAATGAGCCCACTTGGAGCAAACTCAATTTAGAGTCTATTTTTCTCCAGCAGATGTTTTACAGTATGATACAGAATGTGCTGTGTGAGCAGCACTGTGGCACATCTGGCACAACCACAACCGGGTAAAGCAATCTCACCAGGCAACTCTGGTTTGGGAAGTTTTCTATCACATTATGGAATGGTTTTGGGGCTCCAGGTAGAAAAGTGGGCCACTTGGTACCTTGGAAGTCATACACAGTGAGAGAGGAGGCTACTAGTAAGAGCTATCTGAAATTGGCTGAGAACCCAAACCTGTGAGACCAGAAAGAGGGTTGGCTGACTCCTGAGAGAAGGTTGTGTCAAAACAACCAACGTCAGGACAAGGTTGGCAATCAGGGAAACACGCACTAATACTGCGTGAAGAACTCCAGATCCTACATTCTGAGCAGCCACGCCAGCTGAGTTAGTGGGCTGGTGGGCCGCAGAGCCAACCACTGCCATTTTGGTTCACATATCGAATCTGCAAAGTCCACTTAATTCTTAGTGTGTTATTTGTTCAAAGCAAATGCTTCCCCCTTTTTTTTCTCTAAGAAAATAAAACGATCAAAACTGAAACAGCACCAGCATTTTAACATTCAGGCGTAGGGAAGCAACCCTCTAAGACACGGTGACAGGCAAACAGTGCAGCAAAGGAAAGATCAAAAGAGATGGGAAGATCAGTTTCAACCTTCCAGTTCTTATTGTTTCTGCTGTAAACCGTAAGATACCTGGGGGGCGTCCTTTCCTATAGAACAAACCTAGCCTAGAATAAATGGCCTAAATGAAGCCTGTAAAAATATACCAGCTGTGCAATAATCAAAGACTACACACAGAAGAAATATTTTGTGAGAAAAAACCCACAATGGAACAGTTTACCATTCATTCAGCTGGAGTTTGACGTCAGTCTAAAGTGACAGGAAACCAGCTTTGCTGGGCTTTTTTGAGCGCAAATACATTTCAGATCAGGGGAAAACTTTGACGACTGTTTTTACTTGCAGAGGACTGACTTACAGGACATCTCTGTCCTCTTTCATTGGAAAAATTCTTGACTGATTAATTTAGACAATAGTCCTCTGGAATGCACTCCCTGCAATGAATGTTACCAGGCAAACTTAGGCTTGTTTTTATCATCGTTCATCTTATTTTGTTAAATAAGATGTTTAAATGACATTATGGCTTAATGTCAATGACTTTTCAAACATAATTTAGGGTAATTTCATAATACAAACAAAAACACAAAAATAAACTTCATACCCTATGGTTAGTTTTCTATGCAAATAAAAAATTGGTGCTACTGTTTTGCTAGTAAGTCAGGGGCACTGTGGGACATGGGTATACATGACGGAATCCGATGTCTTGTTTGTAAAGTGAACTTGAGAAAACGTTCCTGAGGACTTAGCTAAGCGTGTATTTCTTGAGGGAAGCATGGGTAATCTGCTTCAATGGCCACCAGCTCTCCAGCCATGGCAAGGCCACTGGATTCCAGGATGTCAGGCCAAATTGCAGGGGCTGAGAGGAGAGAACACAGTCCTTCCCAATGCAGCCACTCTGTTTGTTTTCTCATTTAGTTGTCATATCTCTTGGATCCTGGCTGAAACTAAAGGTATAGCAGCACCTCGACTAGTGAGATTATCTTTTTTTAAAAAATTTTCCTGTTACTCATTAATACTATTATAATTTTTACCTGGGAGATTTTTAAGCTTTTCAAAAAGGGGTTTATTGTGGAAAGAAGGCCTGTGGCTAGGCCCTATCACAGACCTCAATGCCACTAAATGAAAAAATTTTCTCTGAGTTGAACTGGTTCTAGGCTAATGAGCTATAAAAAATTAAGATATTCTGGGAGACCTCTTTTGTTTGCTTAAACAAAATAAAGACCCATGCAGGGGCTATTTTTAACGATGGTATCTGTAAAGGGAAAATTGTGATGGGGAAATCATCTATTAAACATAAAAAACTCTCCAATACTGTTTAAAAACTAAAAGTGAAATCCTCCCCAGTCTTCATGCTTTTCCTCAAAAGAAGAAACGAGCTAGAGCTTGAAGAGTAGGAGGAGGATACAGAGGTTTGGCAAAAGAGAAACAGGCCAAAGGAAAGAGTCAGTCACAAAATGCACCACCCTCAGCAGTGTTACTTATCAAGCCAGGTATAGGAGGTCCACACACGGTTAGTGGAGTTAACACCTGACTCAGCTGTCCATACCCTCAGAGTCATAAAGCTTGGTGTACCGGGGACAGAGCGCAGAGACGGGGAATATGCAGGGTTTATGGAATCAGGAGAGAGAAATTTTTCAGCAGAATTAACAGTCATGTGATAGATGTGCTCAAAGTTGATCGGAGAGGAGATCAGACCGGAGTGATGATTTGGGGATGGATAAGGGAAGCCTGGCTATCAAAACAACAGAAAGAAGAAAAAAGGTAACAAGGTCATGAAAATGGATTCACTGATTATATATGACATTTCACATGGCATGCATGTAGAAGAAATGATATATCTCACATCAGAACTGAGTCCTAAATGAAATACTTTCACTTAGAAAGTTAAATTTTTTAATCCCCTGCCAGTAACTGAAACAGCCGATGTGCAAAAGATCATTCATTTTATAAAATCATTGTCTTTTATTACTATCATTAAATGAGCAGAAACTGGACTCTGGGAGGTGCAAGGAGACATTCAGAGTTTAGTTCAGTATTTTCTTATGTGATAGAATCAAAATATGGCAAAAACATACCAATAACAAGGACAGAAAAAGCAAGAAAGTTAACAAGCAGCAAACCTAAAACCAACCTCTCACTGGAAGTGCTATGAAACTGTTTCTTCAAAAACCTAAAACCATTTCCTGGTATTTACAGGCTCTGACATGTGTTTGCTTTCACTGATCTGATTTTCCCCCAACAGGAGCAGTGAGTGAGTGAGGAAGAGCCTGATTACAGGTGGACCTCTCAGAGCCTGTCTCCACTCAGACATCCAGAAGGACATGTTTGTTTTTAACATGAAAAAAAATCTGCCCTTCAATGTCTGGGTGTATTAAAACATAAAAGAACGTAATACTAAAGATACGAAAAAAGCTTTTCACGTGGAGGACTCTAGTTTTTCAGTCAGAATGACTTCTGAGTAATTTGGGAGCTGTCACTCAACACCCAGCCGCCTTCTGAGGGGCATTTTCAGGGTTCAGGAGTTGGAGGGGAAGGATTTTTTGGGGGAAGGCTAGCGGAACATGTGCCCTTCTGAGCTGGGATGAGCTAGCTTTGCTTATTAACAAAATCTTGCAAACTATGGAGACTTAAAAAAAAAAAAAACTCTTACATGAGATGTTGGTTTAAGTTTAGAGATGTGAATGAGCCAGTGCTTTTGGAAGTGATTTCCAAAAAGAACACACTAGTGATGTCAAAGCAACTTTGACCTGAAGAAGCAGTATTACTTGATAGAGCTCTCAGGGATCTTCAAGCTAGAAACGCGGTCTTCGTTAACCATGTTAGGGATGGAAAAAAGGCACAATGTCATGTGCCAAAAATAAATCTTCTGGAGGTAAAATAGTATTTCTGGATTCAACTGGAGAAAAATCTGCCCTCTCTTGCCAGCAGCCACTAATGAAAATAATGACAACAAGGAATGGAGAAGCTAAAGCAGGATGTCCTTCAAGTCCTGCAAGCTGCTCGTACTGACTGCGTGTGTTCTCAGTAAGACACATGTGAGGAGGGCTCATATCTGACTCAGGAGAGAGAAGGAAGCAAGGAGGACTCCCTCATCTTGATGGTCTCTTGAACATCCGTGAGGCAAACAACCCTCTCTCAGTATCATTTTAGTGCAGAGAAAAGCCTCTGAAGACAACCATTAGCTCTCTAAGCTCGCAGGTATTTCCCAGGAAAGAACTGATATGAGTAAAACAAAAAAATGTCTGCGGTACATGCTGCTCTTTGCACGATGATAACATGTAACTTTGGGATCTGAAAGCTCTTTTTACATATGTAAATGATAGATGAATTTAATTTATCTTAATTTTTGGAAACAGTTCTTTAAACAGATAATTACATTTCAGTGGAAAGAACAGATTAAAATCTAAGAACATAATAAAACATCACACATTTCTCAATAAACATATAGACACACAGGTACATGCATGCATACAATTAATTTTTTTCAGATGTGCATACTATCATGTTGTTTACCAGTGTCTACCCCAAGACAAGCATGGGGCTGGCTGGACCATATATCAAAAATATTGGTTAGGTCATGAAATGGGTGCCTAGAAACAGCCCCAGCTTGTACGTCCCCTGCTAGTAAAGGGAAGAAGGCCAGGTGAAAATAAAATTAAGGCAAAGAAATTGGTTTAAAAAATTTATACCAACTTCTTGTCCTGGAAATACAAAAGTGCTTACAGGGTAAGAAAGGGATGGAAGAAACATTAAAAACTGGACTTCATTCTAGGACAGAGAGGCACTTGCATCAATGACAAAGAGAGCTAATGAGGCAGTTGTCGGGTCAGCAAAATTGGTGACACGGAGTGCTAAAAATCAAGAGGCCTAATGGGGACACAAGGCCAACACAGAAGGCCATGTGTCCTGGAGTCAGGTGGGGGAGAATCTTTGGGAGATGCTGTTGGAGCTTGCTGTACTCAGTGATTAAGACCAGACCTTACTTTGAATAAAATATACATAAATAAAAGAGAGATTTCCTTTACTTTACGTGGTGGGAGGGGCAAGGGGAAAGGGAGAAACAGTGGAGTAAGGAGGGATGATGCTTTGAGATACAAGTCCTTATAATGTTGGAAACCTGACATTTCTTTTTATGGTGCTCATGCAGGGTGTATGGTGATTACATCTTATTGTATATGAAGGCCTGAAAAAATTTTGGAACATTAGCAATTGGTTTTTCACTTGATGGCAGAAGACTACCAAGCAGAGGAATATTTTATGAAATCCTGAAACTATTTCACCCTAAGGAAAATATTGTAATTTCTGGGACATAATAGAATATATAGAAAAATTATTATTTTTTTTTTTAGAAAAATTCTTTATAATTTTGTTGTGGGAATACAGAAGATAAAAAAAACTGTGTATATTCTTTTTCTTTTTTTTTTGGTGTACCAAAATGAAACACAAATGAAAAAAATTTTAATTTAAAAAGGGTAATACCTATTAAAACTTTGTTAACTACTGAAATAATTTTGTATTTGTTGATATGTTGCTTTGCAACATATTCATGTTTGAGATTTGTGTCCCTCCAAAACATATCAGGTGTTGAAAAACCATTTACCAACAAAATTAAAAAAACTTTCATTAAAATTGTACATGAACACTTGAGCAATCAAACAGAAGCTATTCACATTTCCAACGTTTATCAAAATGGAAAAATTCTCTCTCAAATGACAGAGGCTTTGGACTGTATGGAACATTATGTCATGTTCCTTGAGAATAAAGGAAAAGCAGCCTGAGGACTTTCAACACATGCTCAGAATGGGCAAAGAGTGGAGAAATCTGAAATCTCACTCCCAGGCAATAGATGAAAAACCAGTGTAAGTTTTAAATATGATAGGTATGTCTAACAGTTCAATACTTAATATGGTTGGACTTAGTTTTTTTTTACTTAGTTTTAATTACTATGTGTAATCTTTCTGCACGCTTTATTTATCTGGCACAGCTAATGAAAATCTCCATTCTGGGAGGATAAATGGCTCTTGTTAATGATTTGAACTCCCTATAGGAGGGATGACACCAGGTCATCGGGATGCCTTGGTGGGGACAAGAAGAGCACTGTATATGTTCATAAACAGGGTCAACTGGTTGATCGGGATACTTACAAAGAGGAACTCAGACTCAATGGCTGTTTTGTTTTGTTTTGTTTTTTTCCCGTGGAACAAATGCAGAACTATCTTCAAAAGCTTAATGGTTATTTCAGAAAATGTGACTGCACACTAAACTTATTACCTAGCATTTTTTCCTGTCAGTGATGGACACCTGCATTACCTGTCACGGCAGAGCTGGTAACGTGCGCAATGAGACAGACTCCCTTAGAAAGAGCTCTGGGTCCAGACTCACAGATCTAATGCTACCACCAGTGATCAGAGGCTCCTATTAAAGTTTCAATAATTTGCTGAGGTATCGTAATACTGAAATGTTAAGTATAAACAGAGCCTGGAAAATTAGCTAATTCCACTAATATTCTTTCTTAACATAATGGGTCCAAGAATCTAATCTTCAAGTGAAAAACAAGTTTTCCTATGTTGTACTTCCGTGTGTAAGATGGACCAGGCGGCTTGTCTGTAACTGGGCAGAGGAGGAAAATTTGACTGCCCCGCCAGGCAACAGGGGTGACCATTACTGACCAACCTAACATGGCTCTCTGGGGGGGGGGGGGGACAGGGGGGGGAGGGTGCAGATATCTGTGTGGAATTGCTAAAACATAGTGAAATGTTAAGAGATTTGATGAGCAAGTTCTGAATCTCAGTTCAGATCCTCTCGAAGTCTGGCAGTAAGTCTGGATATAGGACAGGTTTATGGGGTGTGTAACTAAGCAAGAACTGGATCTGTCTGGTTACTCAGATGCCCAAATGCCGAGTTTTTCTCATCAGGTATATATCATCATGCACCTTACACATACTGTGATGTATGGACACAAATGTCTCATCATCATACTAACATACCCTTTTTGGTCTGCATATGGATTTCAGCATACACGTATGCTTTCTCCCCCTCTGTCCCACTTGTAACCACGTTCCCATTCCCCCTTCATTTCTCTTACCATGGGCAGGTCTTTTAGGATCTGTATTCCATCCCCTGGGCCCATGTGTGCTATGTGGTTAAAATTAGTTGGGTTAGAAATTAATTTATTTCTCATTTCTGGATCTCGTAGCATCTCTCTGTAAGATAAAACACCTGTTTAGATACTTTTTCTGTGATCTATCTGGATCACTTTAGAAAAATATTAAGCATCCTTTATTTGTTCACAAAAATAAAACCATGAAGTCATGTTCAATAAGGACAGAATAATAAAATACACTCAATTAAAACTTTACTTAGAAACTTTTGTTTTAAATAAAAGATCTTGTGCATTTTGATGGGAGAGGGTTCACTTAGTACTGACACAGCAAAGCTCTGTTTTACAGATAGTTCTGACCATCTTATGTGTGTCTTTTAAAATAATTGATAACACTTTAGAGATGTTTTTATATGTGATTGGGAATACTATAAGTCTTTAGGCTGTTTGCTCATAAAGAGAATAATCTGAAGTTCCACAGACTATACAGGTATACTACATGCAGATATGTTCTGTCTATATTATTACACAAAGGCCCATATTTAGAAAATTGTAAGTATTTCACATACACAGAGAAATGAATTAAAATACAGTACTTTAATCCAATGCATACTCACATTGTGGAGAGTATTAATTAAAATTACACTGAGAAGTACATTCATTACTGCAGTTTTGACACCAGAGATGCATGACAGATTTTCAGAGAGCAAGTCTGCCTTCCGCATCAAATACCAGTATTGTCACCACGTAGGCCTGAGGTTGCACCGGCACTCATAGACAGGGAGCACAAGCCGCGCACCCACCTCCTCTGCTGCATCCTCTCCTCTTCTGGGACCCTGAAGGAGAAGCGTCGCTTGTTGTTGATGTTTCTAACCATCTGCTTCCGACTATTGTCCGATGTTTCAGGAACCACCAGTTCATCCCCTTCTGTTAAAAAAATATGAAGAAGAGTGATGTTCTTTAAAGCCCTAAAATGCTTTTCATCCATTAATCTCCAAGACAGTACCAACAATTCAGTCATAGGACCTACATAACTCTCATTTTTAAAAGCTGTGTGTTGATACAGTAAATAATTTAAACCAGGACATATGTAAACAGGGATATAAGAAAATTAAACATAGCTTACAAAGTATAGTTTCACTTTTATTTGATTATTAACATAAAATGGTACAATTTTAGTGGAAAAAAAGGAAAACACAGTTGCCTGGGTGTCCTGTCCCTTTGCAGCTCCCCTGCCCCATCTCTCTACATTGTCTTCTCCTGCCTTCCAGCACTGATTCCAAGGCTTACGGGGTTAGAAAGCTCCCCCCTGTGAAGCTGCACAGCAATCAGGCAGAAATGGTAAATTATTCATGTAAATGGTAACTAAAATTATTTTGACATAATAAAACATTTCCTTTGCAGGATCCAGTCTGCCAGATGTGGAGAAAGAACAAAATCTCATGCTCCCACCAGCTTCCTTCACTAAAGGTTAGACTGTTGCTATTTCTACTCTTCTAATCTTGGGGAGGTGATGATACTTAATTGTATTGCATCCAGTTTCAATTTTAATACCTAGCAGTAAAACTGTCAGCCAAGGGCTTCCCAGACAAGCTGAAATTTCTGAACATGCTCTAGGAATCAAATAGACAGCTGCAGTCACACAACACAATGGAAGCCATTCTCTAAATAAGGAATGGGAGAAAAGGATTCGCACCAGCCACAAAGCTGAAGTGAGAAAAAGCAGGAGGGCAGGAGCCTACAAGCAAGCCAGGGCAGGTGATCAGTGGAAAGCAATGTTCTTCTCGTATGGAAATAATGTAGCTTCATCAGCTTGCTTTCTTAACTATGTGGGAAACACAGTTTTGGAATTTGAGAATGGTGAGTGCATAGCAGGTCTGGGTGGATTATGGTGATAGCCAGGAGGCACAGCAGCACTCTGAGTCCCTGAGAGACGAGGGACAGAGTGAGACAGAGAAAAAGAAAGGGCCTCTGGGGAGTGGGGCCCCTTCCTTCTCCCGAGGACAGGACACCTTTGCTGAAATTCGGTCAGGTCTTCTGTTGTTAAGCTCCGCCTCCACTGCCAGCTCAGGGCAGAAAGCTGAGAGCATGGGGAACACATAAGGAAAAAGGCTTCATCCTGCAAACTCGACCCGGGACATGGACATATTCTATGATCATCACAGCCATACACCATGAGAACAGGGTGGAGCCAATCCTACACAAATACCTGGACTTCCTCTAAGAAAAAGATGCAAAAGTAAGTGCAGGCCCTTAGGGATGAGAAGTGTAAAGCTCAAGTGTCATTAGCTTCACAGTGAATCCATCACTGAGTGGGAATCACTTCTAAATCCTGAATCTCCCTTCTCAAATCTTGGTGGAATATCCCCTATTATGTAGGACCTCTCAGCCTGTAAACCCAGTAACCTCCAGAGCTCTAAGAGCAGACACTGGCTACAAACTGCAAGGCAAGCAGTGACTGTGAACACGGTCCTTGTCCTCTCTAGAGCTCCCATCCCAGGGGCTCCTGTTCCTGCTGCTCCTGAACCTGCCTCTCTGTGGTCCTTGCCTGTGCCAACACAAGCACTTCAGAAGCTTGAAGCCCTAGGCATTGGTAGAAGGTATTCCTAAAGTTCCCGATCAGAACTCTTGATGAGTTTTCACAATTTTAGAGCCATACCTTGGGTTAGGTTTTATAGTATCAAGAGTACAGAAGATACATTCAACTATACTTTCTTGACTTGACTCAGTACTCCACAGAAAATAACAGGTAGGTCAGAAACAAGTATTTTGTATATACAGTTATGCAAGATTAAACGGACTGCCTTTTTGTGCAGACATTTATCCTAATACATTGAGGTGAGTATGATAGTAGCCAAGATCATAGACTTTGGAATAAGACAAACCCAAGTTTAAATCTGGTCTCTGTCACTTACTGATTATCTTAGGCAGTCAGCTTAGAGAGAACATTCCCATGGAAGCTATCCCATTAATGAATGTTTTCTTACCTGCCATCTTATTTTTGAAATATATTAATCTAATTGTCTCCAGCCCTAAAAGGTTTAATGATCCTTCACTGTTTAAGGGTCGAACCTAAAATAATAAAAAATAAAATAAAATTAGTATTTCAAAAACCTTCAAATGAAATAATAAAATTTCTGGCCTATTTAGAAAGCACACACTAGTGAGCCTTTCCATTTAATCCTTCGTCTTCAAAATATGGCTCCCTCAGAAAACCAAGAAGAGATTAACATTAATTCTGATGGGAAATGGGTATAAAGTTATCTAATTTGAACAAAAAAGTTATAATAAGAACATTTTAAAGGAAGAATATTCTGGGGGAAATAAAGCAGAAATATATTTAAATCTTAATTGACTTTTTAAGGCCATTAGTGACTAAATAATTATGCTATGAAGATATCAACGCAGCCACTTTACGAATGTGGTTAGAACTATAAGTCCACATATGACAGAGATGAGACTGTGTATCCCTGGAGAGAGGAAGGCTGTCAGTAAATGCTGATAGAGCAACTGCTCACATACATGGAGTAGATGAATGGAGTCCCTACCTCACACCATGAATCAAACACAACTCCATGGAGATTAAGGACATAAATGTAACAGGTACAACTTTTAAACTTTTGGAATAAAGGTCCTATCTTTATGACCCTGAATTAGGAAAGAGTTTCCTAACAGAAAAAAGATAAGCTTAAAGGATAAGAATGATACATATAATGACATTAGAATCTGTAACAATAACCCTTGAAAATAATAATACACTATGTTAACTAACTTAAACTTAAATAAATTCTAAAAAAATTATAACAGTAAGTTTTCAGTAAAAAAATAAGTTATTGTTATATTATAAAAACAAATGTTTAGTAAAATACACAATCAAAATGGGTAGGTGATAAATGGAGATTTACCCCACCCCTTACTAACTCAGTATTTACAATATATAAAGAATTTCAACAAATTAATAAGAAGCCAAATAGAAAAAGGAGCAAAAAGCATGACTAGGTTTTCATAGAAGAAGAAATAAGAATGAATAAACATAAACAAAAATGAGATGAATAAACATACAAAGATTAGGGACAAGCAAATTCATGCTTCAATGGGAAAGAATTTTATGACCATATAATGGTTGTAAAACTATGAACTCTGAGAATGGCAAGATCAGAGAAGATGTGGGTCAGCAGGAACTCCTCCGTACTGCTGGGGGAAGTATGAACTAGTACAATTACTCTGGAAAATAGTGACACTATTTTGTAAAGTTGAACCCCTGCATTCCCTGTGCCCCATCAATTCTGCTCCTAGACATGTGATTTAAAGAAACTCCTGCACATGTAACCAAAGACACAGGCATCAGTATTCTCTGTAGCAAAACCTGGAAAACAATTCAAAGTCTGCTAATCAGAGAACAGAGAAATGAACTGTGATCTAGTCTCTCAATAGAATATTTTTATAGGGGATCCCTGGGTGGCCCAGCGGTTTGGCGCCTGCCTTTGGCCCAGGGCGCGATCCTGGAGACCTGGAATCGAGTCCCACATCGGGCTCCCGGTGCATGGAGCCTGCTTCTCCCTCTGCCTGTGTCTCTGCCTCTCTCTCTCTGTGTGACTATCATAAATAAATAAATAAATAAAGAATATTTTTATAGTAGTGAAAAAGCAATGGGCTATCCACAGTACAGAGAACAACACAGATGAACCTTGGAGTATGCAGGAAGACAGCAAGGCAGATGACACATAACATTTCCATAAAGCTCAAAAACGAGCAAACCGAACAGTACAAAACAAAACAACTGTTTAGGAATATTTAAATATGCCCCATATCCATTCTGTATTTTAAGCAAAGCAATGATACCTACATATTCAGGGCAGTGATTTTCTCTGGGGAGGGGCAGGGGTATGGGATATGGGAAAAGGATGGAGGTAGAGAGAGTGACTGGTAATGTTCTGGCCTTAAAGTTTAGCAGGTGGGTTTATGAGCGAGCAGTTAATTACTGTGCTTCACAAAGGTCATATTCTTTCATACACATCATAAAATTCACATGATAAAAATAAACTGGAAAACGAAATGTAATCAGCCCACATACAAATCAGAGGGCCATATTTTAGGTGCTTTACATAAAGTGGGAGTATTTGTAAGAGTTTTCATTGCTGATGTGCTTTAAAACCAGGCAGATTTTGAAATATGACGTGTTACTTTCTTGTACATATTCTTCTAAACCCTGCCCCTGATTGATGATACAGCTATATATCTGTATGAAATGATAGTCTTCACTTATGCAAGACAATTGTTCTATACCTGTAAAAATTCTTTCTGTTATCATAGGGAGATATTAAAGGGAAAATCATATTTTATTAGGAATATATAAAGCCTTTATTTTTAAATCATGAGAGGCTTAAACAGTTTTGGTTCTAAGTTTAATCACACCTCTCTAGCATGTGAGAGCTGTCTCAGGATTAAATTATGCATACCATTATGTAAAAAGCAGTTACAAGAAAAAATGACAGCATTCTCCTTCAGAGCTCCAGAAGTAGAAGATGGCGCTGGCATTTTACGTTGAGGTTATATCCTGGTGGCTCACTGTGACAATACTCCTATCAATATAGTAAAACTAAATGTGACAAAAATAGTATGGTATTGAGCTACCTACAAAAGTAACCAGCTTGACTTCTGTTTCTAGTTTTTCTCCTCTTAGCTAAATCCCAAATTACCGATTGTCAGAAAATGCTTGATTAGGGAAATAGCTAACTAGTCACATTAGTGTTTCACTACACTCATTAGTGTGCTGAGCCCATATTTTAATGTGAAGTTACCTTTTTGAGTGGGAGAGTCTGAATCCATTCCATGGAGTTCACATCGAAGATATCAACTGCATTCTCACTATACACTGAGAGATATGGTGCGTTGTAACCTGAGAGAAGGGAAGGAGGAACAGTTACTTTTCCAGTATTGTTACAGTTAATTAATTCTAACCCATAAACCCAAAACATTTTGAAAGATCTATGCCAAATTACTGTAGAGTGGAATCACACCCAAACCCTACTGTGTTCATGTAGTAGCCATGTCAAAACATTTTTGAGGCAGGCAGAACATAAGTCATCGATGAGCAGGTGACATGCCATGAGTCAGCTCAGATGGTGGCTTTAACACATAGGGATTCTGCTAACACAGATGGGAGAATATTCCCTTTGCCAATACTAGTTCTATAAAGGGATGTCAGTACATTTTAAAGTATTTGATTCCTAAACCAGTTAAGCTGTTGAGAGTGAAACAACTTACAAAGCAGACTTGGGTGACACCTGCAGTCGCATCTACGAATGTATGATCATGCACCTGGCACAGGAACATAAGGGGGGGGGGTGAATGCTCAAACCTGCTTACTGAAGGAATGAACAGCGGGAGGCGGTGACACAGCAAGGAGAGATTAGATAACTGACCTCAATGGAGGTCATGAAGGACATCACTGGCCGATATTTGTCAGCCAGATATTCTAACTCCACATCAAAAAATAATACTTTGAATTATTATTTGACCAGGTTACAAAACACCTTTATTCTACATAGGACACCACAGATAAAAATACATATTTTAGAAGAAACAAAACTTTAAAAATATTTAGGTCTGGGTGGGTAGGATTTACAAGGATTTTTCTTTTTTTAATCCAGATTTTCTAACTTATCTGTAATTAGCATGTACAGCCCTCCTAACATTTCTTTCGCTGAACCTTACCCTTGACTGTATCATGCCCATCATCCCTCCTACCTGGTTTGAGCAGTAGCAATTTCATGCCTCCTACTCCAAATCCTTCCCCCTGAGTTCTGAATTCCAATCTCTCTGGCCTCCGTGGAGATTTTACTCTATTTCCTGTGTTTACCACATAGTCAACCTTTCCCTAGTTCCCTAGTTTAGTATTCAAGCATGCTCAAGTATCTTCCACTAAAAACAGAGCATTTAGGGTCAGATCCTCCTCCTGCAGTCCTCCCCAGAACTCTGTACTTTTGCTACAGAGCACTTCTAACCCACTGCAACTTCTAGTTTGTCAGGAACCTTTCCTACTTTATACTATGCTCCAGCAGGGTGAAACTGCCTGCTGTGCTGCTGGCTGTATCTTGTCCAGTGGGATGGCATGGAAAGAGTATCCAGTAATTTATTAATGTCTTAATATTTCTTGAAAGAGTGCAACAGGCAATCTCAAATATCTATTTAGATAAAACTATAAAACAGAGAAACACTTCTTACAGATGCTGTGTTATACCTTTACATAATTGATTAAATAATTCACTTAGTAACTACTTCTCCAGAGTAAGGCTCATGAGCTATTAACGCTCACAAGCCCTATGTTTTGGGGGGAACCATGAAGACAACTGTTTAGTGCTACTTCAAAATACAACATGAGTTAAAAATCTACCTAAGTAAACTATTCTATAGAAAGAATAGCTTCAACTACAAACGAGGTAATGTTGACCTGCCGGCCTAGGTCTAACTACAGATAGTTACTTTAATGTTGACCTGCTGGCCTAGGTCTAACTACGGATAGTTACTTTAATGTTGACCTGCTGGCCTAACTATGGATAGTTACTTTACATAATTAAACAACATAACTGATACTTAGGCAAAACCTTAAGGATGACTTAAAAAAAACAAGCTGTTATTAATAGTGAATGTATTTAGGAGATGAGGTCAAAGGAAAAGGAAAGAGACAAAAAGGTAAAACAGCTGAAAGTAGAAGGCTCTTACAACAAGAGGAGGGATTTGACGGCCACATCAACTCCTGTTGTCTCGATCTCCGGCCCTGGCAGTCAGTGTATATCCCAATGCTGTTAAAACACAGCAGATACTCTTTACTGGAGATCTCAACTGCGCAGATGGCATCCATTGGCTGGTGGGCAATAAATGACAGTGTGTGGTCATTTGAATGGAGCATACTGTACGGGCTTCCCTCTCCATTCAACGGGTATCTTAGGAATCCCGACTGGAATCCCACGCAGAGCTGTTCACTGAAGATCGCCATCCATTGCACGTTATATGGGACTTGAATTTCCTTAAATTTCCTGTGACGGGTCTTGCTCTGAAATAGTTCATAACAGAGGACCTGCCTTTTCATAGCCACACACAGGCATGTGAGAGCTCCATGGCACACTTTGCCCGAAGTTATGGTCTGACACCCTTTAGTTTCTGCCAGCTTATAAAAATCAGTCTCTCGTCCGTCCAAAGCTGATATAGGAAAAAGTCGTACATGACGATTTCGTCCTGAGATCACAGCAACAAGCTGATCATTTGGAATGAGTTCAATCTGATGTATCTTCTTATTATCACCAACTCTAATAATTTCTATGCAAAGAAATGATAATAAATCAAATGCAGAATGTTTTATTTATTAATTGTATCCTAATTATGCTCAACTCAAAATGATACGTCAACTTCTAATCAAAACACAGATACACACAGAAGAATATGGGATCTGAATCATGGAGAAAGAGGAAGATAACTGTGCCCATTATAAGGTAACTGTAACTGCACACACTTATAGTGAAGTGTTAAATTCAGCACTACAATTTCCAGCAACCAAAACAAAGTGTCCCTGTGTGATAAAGCATGCCACATCTGTAGGAAAAACCTTCTTACTGGCACTAAATTCTCAGGAACTTCACCATGGTACTCCTATTTTAAAAACTGAGTAAGGCATATTTTACTGAAGGTATTTCATTCATTCTCTTTTTAGAGACAGAGAGAGATAGAGGTTGCATGAGCACAAGCAGTAGGGAGGGGTAAAGGAAAGAGAGACTCCCAAGCAGGCTCCATGCTGTGTGGAGCTTGTTGCAGGGCTCGATTCCAGGACCCTAAGTTCACAACGTGAACAGAAATCAAGAGTCTGATGCCTAACTGACTGAGCCCCCCCAGGTGCCCCAGAAGGTATCTCTATGAGTAACAAATGGATACAGTTTAAATGCACTGTTCTCCCACCATCTCACTTGATCTGAAAATTGGTTCCTTTTTATTTCACTTAATATTTAATTTCTCCCTGGGAAAAAAATCTGTTATATTAAGTGTGGGGGGAAAACACCCCCAACAACGAACACATTTTAATGACTGCCATGTCTTCTGGTGCTAACAGAGCAATGAACACAAACTATTATCTTTCACATCCATTTTTAGGTATGCAACCTGAGTTTGTGTAACAGGGCTGTTAAACAAGTGACAAAAGAAACACAACACAGGGCAGCCCAAGTGGCTCAGCAGTTTAGTGCCGCTTTCAGCCCAGAGCGTGATCCTGGAGACCTGGGATCGAGTCCCACGTCAGGCTCCCTGTATGAAGCCTGCTTCTCCCTCTGCCTGTGTTCTCTGCCTCTCTGTCTCCTGTGTTTCTCATGAATAAATAAATAAAATCTTAAGAAAAAAAAAAAAAGAAACACAACACATACTTGCAAGTTTAAGAACTCAGGAAGATTAAAGAATTTTAAAAGTTATCTTTTGATTTATAAACACATCAAATTGGTGTGGAAAATTTCAATTATAGAATATATAAGAGCAAATCCTGCTCTTCTTAGGATTTAGAATCTAGAGTTTAGAATTGTCTACCAGTATCTAGTTGAAAGTTACTCCAAAATAATTAAGTTTTGTCTTACCATCTTTGGTGACGTGCACAACAAACAACCCTTCTTCATTGCCCAGAGCTATCCTTTCGTGATCTATGGAAGACATGGATACGGAACACTGTTAACAGGTAAAACTATGTAAAACTAATAGAACAAAACAGATAATAAAAAAATTTGGTGCATAAAACTGAAGTAAGTAACTTAAAAATAATAACAATTTGTACTATTAAATCTCCTTCCAGATTACAGTGGTAAATGTTACCTCATGTCTTTTTTAATGGAACAATCATTAGAAAGTATATCAATACTTACAGAAAGAAGTAAATGTTTATTCAATAAAGGGTGAAAAAAATTAAAAATCTAGTTTGTTAGCACCCTGGATCTAGTTCTATTTCTTGTTTTGGGAGGGAAAAATTGTGGCAGGCATTTGAACCCTACTCATTAGCTTTTCATTATTTACTAGAAAGTAACAGCCAGATGTGTACAAAACAAGACAAAAAATTAAACCTCCAGACACAGAAGCTGCCATTTTTTTTAGGGGATTTGATATGCAGGGTGTCCTGTGTCATGTGTTCTGCCTTCCTGAAACCTCCCCATAACTTCTGAGAGGTATTCGGAACCTGCATCTCACCTAGGAAACTCACACACTAAAAAGTTAAACAACTTGCTCTATGTCACACAGCAGAAAATAGATGCAAGCCAGCCCTGCCCACAGGGGAGGTCAGTCAACAACTACGGTAACACTGTCAACGGGGCAAATCCGTACCTATGATTGCAGCTGCCTGGGTTGTTTTAATGAGGGGCAGAGTGCTGTCATAAGCCTCCTTGGGAACATAGACGGAGCGGTCTCTGAATTTGCTTTTCTTCAAAATCTTATGCAGCTCGTTGAGCACGCCCACCCACTTGTTCCTCTCGCTCTCACTCTCTGCGAGCATTAGGACCGAACACCTGCTGTCAGATGCTGAGAGCTGGGAAGCTGTGACCTAGGAGAGTTAATCAGCTTCTGTTAGGAAACAAATCATGCCGGCTTCAAGTTGATGCTGACTGGCCAGGTTTTGGCCAATAAGATGACACTCATTAGATGACACCCTTACCAGAGGTCAGCTTTCTTCAGGAGAATTACTAGTCATTGCATTAGAATTCATGTCAAAACAAAGGTAACAGATACCTCTATCTATCTATCTTATCTATCATCTATCTATCTATCTATCTATCTATCTATCTATCTATCTATCTATCTACCATTTTAAACGTTAGTAACCATTTTTTATTTTCTTTGCTATAAAGTGCCAGGCTGCCATCACTAAGGAACTCATTACCCACACTCATACATCAACAGCAGCTGATACTTATACTGAGCAATCGCTGAGCTGTGATTGGAGACTTTACAAGTATGAGACAGATGTTGCTATTATATCCTGATTTTACATGTGAAAATACTGTGGCACAGAGTTACAGTCTCTAAGGATGTCCCACCAGACTGGGATCCAGGTTTATGCTCACAAGTACTACATCCAACTGATTTTCAACTTGTTTTAAAAAGTCAGAAATGCTTAGACATAACATTCTATGTTACTTCATAACATAACTCATTATCTTAGAGAAGATCAGCTCACTTGAGTTAGTATTTACATGAAGATTTATCACTACACAAACAGCACTTAAAATCAGAACAGACTTAAATTTTATACACATGGATGCCTTCTTAAAAGTGATTTCAGCAGCAGTGACCATAGAGTCCTATTATGTGGGGCACTTGGTGGCTCAGTGGTTTGTCTTTGGCTCAGGTCGTGATCCCAGAGTCCTGGGATTGAGGTCCCACATCAGGCTCCCCACTGGGAGCCTGCTTCTCTCTCTGCCTATGTCTCTGCCTCACTCTCTGTGTCTCTCATGAATAAATAAAATCTTAAAAAAAAAAAAAGAATCCCACTATATGAATCAACTCCAGGCAAGAGGGCCTCTTAGGCTCTCTTGGTGACCTTCCTTGAATACAAGATTCATAGCAGGCACTCAGTATACAGGTATAACACTAGGGCAGTGGTCTTTTTTGTTTTGTTTTGCTTTGTGTTTTAAACCTTTATTGTCTTAATTCACCAATCCAAGATCACCCTGTGGGAGGGTAGACAGCCTCCAGAGATGGCTAATCAACAATTCTTCCTCTGGAATTAGATTCTTCTCGTCAAGCTCTGGAGTCTATTTCCCCTCCCCTTAAAAATCCAGGTTGGCCTCATGACAGCTCTGACCAACAGAAAGTACAAGAATAATGCCCGTTTTGGCCTGGTCCTTAAAAGAAAAGTCTGGCAGTTTCTTTTGTTCTCTTGGAGGCCAGCCCCGTAGAGCTCAACCAGATGGTTGAATGAGAGACCACATGGACAAGTTCACAGAGAGAATGGAGATTGCCAAGCAAACAGGCAACAACAAAGCCACAGATATGTAAACAAAGTCATATTGGGATATTCTAGCCCCAAGTCAGCTCAATGTAGCCACAGGAGTGATCCTAGTCGACCTTACTCAAAGTGGATAGCTGCCCCACAGTGGCAAAAACTAAATCATTACTGGTTTAAGCCACTAAGTTGTGGAGTCATTATTACAAAGCAATAGAAATAATATTAATTTTTAAAAAATATTTTATTTATTTGAGAGTGTGTGAAAGCATGTGAGAGAGAGAAGTGGGGAGGGGCAGAGGGAGATCCTTCTGGGGAGCCCGATGGGGGGGCTCAATCCCAGGACCTTGGGATCACTACCAGAGCTGAAGGCAGACGCTTATCCCACTCAACCACCCAAGTTGCCCCAAAACATTAATTTTTTTAAATGAGATTTTATTTATATATTTATTTTTATTGATTATTTTATTGTTTTTAAAAAGATTTTATTTATTCATTCATTAGAGACATGGAGAGAGAGAGGCAGAGACACAGGCTGAGGTAGAAGCAGGCTCCCCACAGAAAGTCCGATGCAGGACTTGATCACACCCTGAGCCGAAAGCAGATGCTCAACCGCTGAGGCACCCAGGTGTCCCTTAAAAGAGATTTTTAAAAGAAATCTCTCCTTTTTTTTTTTTTTTCTTCCAGAAAGGAGAGAAACTTTACACTTACTCAGTTTTCTACATGGTATATTTATTTGGAAATTGTAGTCAAAAGTATCACCCAAGATGAAAACTAGTTTAGAGGCCAAATATTTATGCTTTCTACAGGTCTTTTACTAATGAAATATTTACTTAGTGCTAATTGTCTATACATTCAAGTACTGGATAACACAAAACACATTCAGGAATATAGGACTTGGTACTATTCCTAGTAAGTTTATGATCTATATGGAGAGACAAAATATATAATCCCTAAGAACACATAATCTAGTGATCAAATTATAGCACACAACTTACTCTGAATATACAGGGTATATCTTTTCGACTTGCATGAATAACATCAGAAGCCAACACTGAACTCACAGAAAATTCTTCATCCCTGAGAAAAGTGAAACATTAAAAGTTGGCATATGTAGGTATATGTGTGTCGTGTTTTGCGTGTGTATCCAAGTAACACACATGGAGCAATCCTTAAAATTTAATTGCACTAAACATCCAAATCGAATTTTAAAAATTTTGATTTTCCACCATTGTAAGTGATAGTGCTCGAAGTAATTTATCAGGAGTAACTCAGCAGTGGTGATCATACATTGAGCTAGAAAAGACTGCTGCTTCCCATTGCAAGGCCAGTATCTGTACATGCGAAGAGGGATCTGAACCCTCCCTAACAAGGGACCCTCTTGCCTCTCGCAATACATCTCACATACCCACAACATAGCTTATCTGACATTTCACTATTCTTTCAACACCTGAAACAGAATTCCTCCACAAGAATTTACTCCTTGTGACACCCTTGCTTTGGTTCCTAGTGCCATCACTCTCCTCATCTTGAGGACTTGATACCTTAGTCTTAGCTTTAATTCTCCCTGCATTTCTGTAGTGAGCCCCCGAGCACTCTGTTGGACTTTCTTTGCTAATAATTCTCACACCTATCTCCTTGTATTCTGTATCTGTGGGGAAGAGGATGTGCCTGAGGAGCTGGTGGTATGAAATGCCACTGTGTGCCATTTCTGGAGAAAGCTGGATGGAGGCCCATGTGGGACTCATCAGCACAGAGCTGAGAGCTGAAGCTCTGGGGGTTCATGTCACCCCAGGGGAGTGCAAGAGTTAATAAGAAAGCTAAGGAAGAGCACTCCATGGGGGTAGGGGAATAGCCTGAAAAGCAAGAGGTGTACTCATTCAAATGTTTGCCTACTCATTATATGTTCCAAGAGCCTACCTGATTTTGAGATTTCTGCTCCCTTTCCTCACACTGGAATTCCATTCCACACCTTGAGGCAATGATTGAACTGTCACACATTAGGCCTTCATTACCCCAGCCAGCTTTACGCTGGTCTTTTGGATTCAAACTTTAGTTTCTTTTCCCTGACCCCAAGCCCCATCCCTCTACACACACCAACCTGTCCTAGAACTACACCTTGCTTCCTGGTCTTAATTACGTTACTCTGGCAATATTAGCCAATTAGATTATTAACATGAAATTAGATTCAAATAAAAATATGGCAATATAATTAGGTGAAAAATCCGACGCTTTCAAAAGCTCACCTCATGTCAATCACCTGACTGACCACAACGCTGGGCTGAGATGCTTTTCCTTCAGCGACATCATACAGGAAGAGTTTAAAGTCACAAACCACAGCCAGGGCTCTCTGCCATCCTTTCTTTACTCCAGCTGGTTTCGGAATCTTCGGCAAACAGACAGATAGAAACAACTCACACTAAAATGTCAAGTGCAGCCCCCTTAATTACCTACGGAACTGCACAACAGAAACCTCAAGACACTGCACACATGCTCTAGGTCTGCAGCTCTGGTTGGTAAAGTGCAGACAGAAACACAGACCATTGAAAACATGAAAAGTCAACGGTAAGAATAATTTCTTCAAATACGTATGACTTTTTATTCTGAAAAAACTTTTAAATGGTACCATTTTAACTTTCACTAGTAATTCATTAAAATAACATTCACAGATTTTTTTTAAATTTTATTTTAAGTAGGCTTCATACCCAATGTGGGGCTTGAACTCACAAGCCTGAGATTAAGAGTTGCATGCTCTACCAAGTGAGCCAGCTAGGGACCCCATGGATTTCTTTCTAAGTAGCATAAAAGTCAAATTTGAGAGTATAAGGAAATGCAGCTTATACTTTGAATACTATTCAAGATTACCAGTAAGAAACACCCTGATAATATTCTCAGGCTTTGTAAGCCTATGCTACATCTCCAGGAAGACCAGGGGCAAAGACTCATTTTTGGAGATTCAACATCTGTTTGTTACAAGATAGAGATAGTACAGAAAATTTTAAGACATTTTGGAATTTATTTCTAAGCAAAGGCCAGGTTTTTGTTTTCAAATCACTCTGGATAAAATAAAATTATTAGATGAATTTTATTTGCCTAATTTTCTGACAAGGAGTATGTTTGTAAAGCGACTAGACTCTATCCTCAGTCATTAATCAATCTCAAAAGATGAATCTAAACCCAACCTAATTATACTTACCCTGACATGACCTTCATAGGCTGTTCCTATTCCTTTCTGTGGATCTATCCCCAGAGGACCTTTTGTCTGCTCAGGAGGGACTGGACAAGCAGTTGGAGCTTTGTTTACACAAGTTATATGACATGAGAATCCGCACACTTTTGAAGAGGGGGAAAAAAAAAAACCAATGTTCAGTAAAAATACACTTTTACAAAAAAGAAAATTCACTGAGCACTCATTACATACAAGGGGCTTATCTGTGGTTTTGTTTTAAATAATTGTTTTGTCATTTGGGGAGCTGATTCATTTGCTTATCAATAAGAATTTCAATGAGAAACAGTAAAGATTTTTATTATTGTAATATTATTGTTCTGTGTTAACAGGAGTAATCAAGAGGAGCACATACATAGGAAAAAAAATCTAAATTTGTGACTACAACAGTGATTTTAAATTTGGAATTCCAAAAAGTGGTTTCTAGAGTTCTAATTCTTCATCTTGCCACAACTTAGTATCTGCCCTGAAAATTTCTCTTGCCAGGCTCACTAATGGACATGAAATTACTCGACATCTTTGCAATATCTGGAAAATTTTATCAATCCTTTTTGAAAATGAAATTGTTCAATGATTAAAAAGGTACAAATTAAGAATAATCTTTAAGAGTTGTTAATATCATTATAGATTCTTCAGGTATAACTAAGGTCATAATAATGGTTAACTTAAATGAATGCATTTAATTTTTCTATAAGGGAGGTACAGTTACTCCTATTTACGTATGACTTGCCCTGGTCACAGGACTCAAAAGTGGTACTGCTGGAATCCAAACCCAGGCAGTCGGGCTCAGAGCCTGCCCTACCTACCAACAATAGTGCCATGATACCTCTACCTGGTACTCACACGATCAACCTGAAACTCTAAGAGACAGGATAAACAAAAATAAGTATGTAAGTTTCACCGAGACTTGGGTGAATTGAAATATTGAAAGGCACCTGGGTGGCTCAGTTGGTTAAACCTCCAACTCTTGATTTCAGCTCAGGTCATGATCTCAGGGTCATGGGATCGAGCCTCACACTGGGCTCCACACTCAGCTTGAGATTAGAGCTCAAGCTATGTCTGCTTGAGATTCTCTGTTTGCCCTCCCCCCCGCCACTCGCTCTCTCTCTAAAATAAATAAATAAAATCTTTTTAAAAGTTAAAATATTTAAAACAAACAAGTTTGTTGGAAGGGACTGCAGACTAAGAGAATCCATTTAGACAATTCCTACTCTAAGGCTCAGTGCTAGAGAATATTTGGGAAAGATTAAGAGAGGAGCTGAAGGGATACCGTTCTAGGAGTGCATGCACATGGGAAAATGTATATATACATCACTGATGGGAATCATGAAGCCATCAGAGGGGCAGGATGAACTAGTACTGACCTCCAAAACCACCAAACTTCTGTTAGACATCTCATTCACTTATAAGTGGAATGTCTTATAATTATAACAAGTTATAATTTGTTTTACTAATAGGCAAAACCTCACCTCCAAACAGCAGCGGAAACAACAAAATAATTGTCCTTTACAGGATCTAACTTCAATCAACCAAGAAGAAATTAAAATGATAGGAGTCTTTTGGAAGCTGTAACCGCATTACCATAACATTTATAAAAGCCTAGGCAGAGTCTAATGTGTCCCCACAGTGTATAGGGCAGAGTACTAAGGGTCTGTGGGAAAGACAGGCACAATTTCATGACATGAGACTCTAGAAAGGGGCCTGGGGAGATCCAAAAAATCCTACCATGTAATTATAAATGTTTCTGATGCATCAGAAAGGATAAGGGATTAATACCAAGTAGCTATCCAGGATTCTTTCTGATAAACAGATTTTAGAATGACATTTATCTTTATTTGCATTTTATTTTTTAAAAGATTAATTTATTTTAGATAGAGTGAGAGAGCTGGGGAAGTACCAGAGGGAGAAGGAGAGAGAGAATCCTGAAGCAGACTCCCCACTGAGTGCGGAGCCCAATGCGGGGCTTAATCCCAGGACCTTGAGATCATGACCTAAGCCAAAACCAAGAGCCATCTAGGTGTCCCTAAAAGTGACACTTTTAAGTATTGGCTAAATCCAAAATGTGACAAGGCTTAAAAAACTGTACAAATTCTCTCCTTTGGCTTCCATCATACCTTTCTGGTCAACAACATAGATTATTCCTTTTACAGATTACTTTGCTGTCTTTACCTTTTACCTCCTCTGAGTGGTTTCCTAAGGCTCTGTCCTCACACTTGGTTCTCTTTTCACTCTGCCTGTTTCCTGGAAAACGCCATTCCTGTTCATCACTTTGTATGATTATTAGCTCTAAAATCTACTTTTCAACCCAACCATTTTCTTTGGCTCTAAATGCATGTATCTATAAGACTATTGGAGATGATGCAGTCTGGATCTTCTGCTTTGACTGTGAGAACTAAGCAGACATAGCATGCACTGTCTTAAGATGCTATTAACATCCCCTTAATTCAAAGTGATCAAATATAGACTAACTACGAGCGCATTCTAGAAGGGTCACAGTTGCATCTGAGTGGACTCATGACCTTCCCTTCCAGGTCCCTTCCCACCCTAAGGGCTAAGAAATGGAAATTCATAATTTGAATTAGCAAATATTTTATCTTTTTAATATTTTTAAATTATTTTTTTAAAAGATTTTATTTACTTATTCATGAGAGACACACTGAGAGAGAGGCAGAGACGCAGGCAAAGGGAGAGGCAGGCTCCATGCAGGGAGCCCGACGTGAGACTCGATCCTGGGACTCCAGGATTACGCCCTAGGCCGAAGGCAGGCGCCAAACCACTAAGACACCCAGGGATCCTCAATATTCTATCTTTTTCATAAGACATAACAGTAAATGATATATAAAGCATTGTTACAGTGATAAATTTCATTTGATTAAAAAAAGTATATTCCTAAGCTATTCACAAATAATGTATCCCATTATAATTTACACCATATTCATTTCAGAAGTCTCAGGGAAAATAGAGTGGTGCCCAGACAAGTATACTTTGTTTTCTGTTCAAATGAGCCCTGGTCTTTCATCTCTCAGAATGTGAGCTCCACGAGGGCAGGCTCCTAGTCTTTCTCTCTCCATGACTACATCCTAGGGTCTGGAAGGACGGGGCAGGCATTCCAGGAACACGCAATGGATGAATCAAAGAGTCAATGAGTGGTAGGGAAAACCCACTGCTATGAATACTGGGAATAACGTATCTTTAGAGGCAAAGTGGCAGACACTTAATATTTCCGAAAAGATACCAAACTGGCTACTTTTGAAGAACGATTTCTCTTATTAGAGAAATTAAGCAAGGTGAAAATTAAACAAACACATTCAAGGATAACTTTTATGTCTTCTGTCACTCAGTTTAATGCTTTGCCGGAACCACGAATTCACCCAAAGAATGAAATAAAGACTGATAAAGTTCTCCCTTGTTTCTAGGGGCCGTCTATATTCTCCCATGTTCAACATTTAGCACAGTGTTTGGTTTATTATCTGTACCCCTGTTATAGGAAAAAGGAAAGCCAGCAGATATTTAGATGTGTTTTAAGGAGAATACGGTTACGTGATCACAGTTGAGGTAGCCCATGCTAGGACCCTAACGTCACACTCTCCTGTCATTTTGTTCTTACCCTCACAGGAACAGCCTTGTCTTATCAAACCAACCATCAGAGAGGTGCACTGGTGGCATCTGGTAGGTGTTGTGAAAGATTTGACAAAAAACTGATGAGTCTTGCGCTGCAAAACAAATGGATGAAAAAGACGCTGATGATCAAAAACATCAATTATTTAAAGGATTTCTGCAATGTGAATCTCTGGGCCTCACATGAGGTACTAGGATGTTTTCTAAATATAAGTAGAATCAATTGTTTTCATTCCTCACATCTTTTTGTAATTTATGCTTCTTAAATATTTTTACTAGGCAATACAGAACTAGGTTATGCTAAAAATAACATAGGAAGTTACATGATAGGTTAACTGCTCTTGAATGCCATTTGAAAAGTTATGAATTGTAGGTTTTTATTTTTGCTCACAGATTTTGATTCAGGATTTTTACAAATTCTTCAAATGATTCTTCAACAAAAAGTTAAATGAAACATTACATATTTATACTTTCACAAATACAAAAATTTAATATGCTTTTATACCTTCTTAGGAAGAACAAAGAGTAACTGAAAATTCTGGTTATAAGTACCCTGCTATAAGTACTTCATTCTCTGGGACTAAGAATAAAGAGTATACTTAATGAATCTGTTTCCTTCCGTGAAAGCAGGTGGTACTCCCCCTTCAGTAGACAAACATACAGATGTACCATCCTAGAGACAGATGGCAGCCTGAGACTTCTTACTGCAAACCCAGTAAAGTTCTCCAAGGCTTATCTGTTCTATCTGGTTCTAAGTCACTAGACTGTAGCTCTCCAGAACATGCCTCTTCTCTCTTAGAAGGTTTTAATAATAAATGAATTATAATAGCTATTCTTCCACTCAACTGTATGAGCCTAGGGACAACTTACTTAAGTTCTCGGTGTCTTACTTTCCTCATTCTGTAAAACAGGATCGATAACAGTATCTACTTCATAGGTTGTTTAAGTAAATATGTGAATATAAACAAAGCCTTTTGAACAGTGCTGGCATGGTATAAGCATTCAGAACACAGTTACTTACTTTTATATATATATTATATATAAATTTTACTGGAGTTCAATTTGCCAACATATAGTATAACACCCAGTGCTCATCTTGCCAAGTGCCCGTCACTCAGTCACCCCAAACCCCTGCCCACCTCCCCTTCTACTACCCCTTGTTCATTTCCCAGAGTTAGGAGTCTCTCATGCTCTGTCACCCTCACTGATATTTCCCACTCATTTTCTCTCCTTTCCCCTTTAATCCCTTTCACTATTTTTTATATTCCCTGAATGAATGAAACCATATAATATGTGTCCTTCTCCGATTGACTTACTTCACTCAGCATAATACCCTCCAGTTCCATCCATGTTGAAGCAAATGGTGGGTATTCGTCATTTCTAATGGCTGAGGAATACTCCATTGTATATATAGACCACATCTTCTTTAGCCATTCATCTTTTGATGGACACCGAGGCTCCTTCCACAGTTTGGCTACTGTGAACATTGCTGCTATGAACATTGGGGTGCAGGTGTCTCGGTTTTTCACTGCATCTGTATCTTTGGGGTAAATACCCAGTAGTGCAATTGCTGGGTCGTAGGGTAGCTCTATTTTCACCTTATGTTTATGATTTGAGATCTGACCTTCATTGCCTAGTTACAAAGAATTTCTCCATTTTCTCCTACCCATGTTTTTAATTTTTTAAATCTACATTTTATTTATTTATTTTTTAAAGATTTATTTATTTATGATAGACATAGAGAGAGAGAGAGAGAGAGACAGAGACACAGGAGGAGGGAGAAGCAGGCTCCATGCCCGGAGCCTGATGTGGGACTAGATCCCGGGACTCCAGGATCGCGCCCTGGGCCAAAGGCAGGCGCCAACCGCTGAGCCACCCAGGGATCCCCTAAATCTACATTTTAAATCTAAATTTTAAAACTAATACACATACACAGTTTAAATAGTAAAATAGCATCACAATGCTTAGAATAAAAACTGAAGTACCCTTCCACCCCAAGTCATCCTTCCTAGAGGCAATTTCATTTAACTCTTCCAGCTGTTTGCCTCCTTCTGTATGTATCTCTGTAATTTTGGAGGAGGGTGAAGCAAGTCTATTCTGCTATTTCTTGATTTGAGGCATTATACTGATTTCCTGTCATGGAAGATGAGGATTTGGCACTATCACACCAACTACTCCCTTCATGGTCTTAATATTGGTATAGCACAGTTTTGGGTTAAATTTTACATTTAATGTTTAAGTTATTATGACCTTGGATTTTTAACTGAGTCGAGAAGTATACTATAGTTACATGTTTCTTTGTGTCATTTTTTGACTTTTCTGAAACTAATGATGCCCTCCCTCTTTTAAACTTAATTTTCTAGGTCCTCTCATGACTTACCCCAGACTCTCCAAAGCAACCGCAAAATCCTCTCAAATCTATGTACCACATGGTCAAGCAGTGAGGAAGGAAGGCTTCAGTATTCCTCTGCCCCGTGTTATTGACCAGAAGTTTCTCCTGGAGCCTCTCTGCTTTTCTGTTGAATGTTCAGCTGCAGGGCTTGGGTCCTTCTCCCAACTGACCTGTGTGCAATTCTCTCCTGTGGACCCTCTGCCTTTCTCTTTCTTCACCTCCTCCCTTGCTTTGATGGAAATCATTTCTTAGTAGTTTACTTAGGAAGCAGAACATAGGTGATAATACTTTGAGAAAATCTAAATCTTCTGAAAATTTTATTATTTTCCCCTAAATTGATTAAATATTTGACTGGGAATCAAAAATTCTAGCTCAAAATCGTTTTACCTTACAATTGTCCTTTCCATTTTGCTGTTAACAAGTATGATGCCGTTTCGATTCCTAATCATTTGAATGTGATGTTTTTTCCCTAAAGATTTATTTATTTGAGAGAGAGAGTGTGCAAGCCGGGGAAGGGAGGGGGAGTAGCAGAGACAGAGAATCTCCAGCAGACTTCTGGTGGAGTGTGGTACCCAACATGGGGCTCCATCTTCCAACCCTGAGATCACAACGTGAGCTTAACTGACTGAGCCACCCAGGAGTCCCTCATTTAATGAATTTTTAAATGCCTGTCTTATTTTTAACTTTTAAAGGACTCTATTTTTCTGGTTATTCCTTTTTAAAAGTTTCCTCTTGCTTTGGCATTGCCTCTTTTTCCTTCAATGAAAATAGGAAATCTGTTTGTTGGGATCTTTTTCTTTCGTTAAAGGATTTCCTAAAATGTCTCCTGATCCTTGGGAATTTGTTCATATTTAAGTGTGAGTCAGTAAAAAAGCTGAGTTGAAAGTGTTTTGGTTTATATTTTGTGCGGGTGCCCACGCACCATCAATGAGGACCAAGTTGTCTCACTGGGACTCTAAGCTGCCATTATCCGTAAGTCTTTTCTGGGTGAATTTCTTCAGAGACTCCACTGAAATCCTCCCAGGAGGCTGGAGGGAAGGAGGAGGAAATAAACCCAACTGCCAACATTTTGGGAGCTACACAGAAGAGAGGGGTTCAGAACCTCACTTTTAGGTTGCAGACTTCTGCAAGATCTCACGACTCCTAGTTCAACACTTCCTCTTCTCTCACCAACCACTGATGTCCTTCAGTTTGTGGTCTTTCAGTGACTCCACAAAGTGAATGCACTGCTAAGTTGGTGGTACACTGTCTGGTTTTGAGAGATGCTCTAACAGTGCTTCATGTGGACTTTGAACCAATTCCCCAACTCATTCTAGACTCCCTTTCCTACTCAGACTCCTCAAAGGTATCAGGTGTCTTATCCTTCTGCATGATGTGAAGCTTGTCCTTCATGTGTTCCACCAGAAGGGCTTATGGGAACAACAATCCTTGACTTCTTGCGCATTCTTAATACTTCTCCGTGGCTTTTATTTTTGAATGATGCCTTATTATGCTTAAAAACTCCAAAACTCTTAAAAATCTTTGACATTCTAAATTCATCAAATTGTTACAACTATGTGCAGTTTTTTTTGTATACGAGTTATACCTCAATAAAGTTGTCAAAAAGAAAGTCACAAAGGAGGGAAAAAACCTTGGACTCACACTTTCCTTGGGTATTTTAAATGTCATCCAATTGTTTTCTGGCATAGTGTTGCTATTGAAAAGTCTGACATAAAATTCATTCTTTTCTTCTTCCTTGAGTTACTTATTACACTTCTGTCCAATGTTTTTTTCTTTATAAGCCATGGGTTTACTAGAATGTGTTTTCTCTTGTCTGAGTTGATTTTCTTGGCTATTCTGGGTGCCTCCATAGTATGAGTTTCAAGTCTGCTTTATTTTATTTTAAAGAATATTTTACTTACTTATTTGATGGAGAGAGTGAGCAAGTGAGAGGACACACATAAGCAGGGGGAGCAGGAGAGGGAGAAGCAGACTCCTGGCTGAGCAGGAAGCCTGATGTGGGGCTTGACCCCAGAACCCCAGGATTATGACCCAAGCCAAAGGCAGACATGCTTAACCAACCAACTGAGCCACCCAGATGCCCCTCAGGTCTGCTCTATTTTAGAAAATTTTCCTGAACACAGATTTTGGAATTTTCTGTTACCTTGGTGTTCTCTATCACAGACTCCTATTATATAAACATTGGCCCTTCTATGTTATTCTTTTCCAACACTTTTCTAAAATCCTTTTTACCTCTTTCCTCATTTCTGTTTAAAAAATTTTATTTATTCATTTCAGTGTGGAAGGAGGGGTAGAGAAAACATGCTCGAGTCATGGAAGGAGAAGAGGAAGGGAGAGAGAGAGAATCCTTAAGCTGACTGCTGAGCATGGAGCCTGACATGGGCTCAATCCCATAACCTCGAGATCATGACCTGAGCTGAAACCAAGAGTTAGAAGCTTAACCAACTAAGCCACCCAGGAGCCCCTCCTCATTTCTTTCTTTTTTCTTTTAAATTTATTTATTCATGAGAGAGAGAGAGAGAGAGAGAGACAGAGACACAGGCAGAGGGAGAAGCAGGGTCCATGCAGGGAGCCCGACATGGACTTGATCCTGGGTCTCCAGATCCCACCCTGGGCCGAATGCGGCACTAAACCGCTGAGCCACTGGGGCCACCCTCCTCCTCATTTCTTGATTAAAAGAAAAAAAACTATATTCTATTTTCA